CAGTGCAGGAAACATAACTCTTTGACAGTGCTGCCAAAGCTAGATTGCCTTCAGATAAAGCCTGCCTCTGTTCTTAAGCTCCAACTTGGCTCTTCCATGACAGCCATCACCTTTAGGTCTTCCTGCCCCAAAGAGATTATGCAACACCTCTCCCCTCTGTTTCAGGTGGAGATGTATGTCGACTGGTTAGTGGCTGCTACTATTCCAATAATCTATTTCCTTTAAATAAGTTAATGATCTAAACTGAAGCAGTGAAACCTTACAGCTTCACTGGTCCCGCTTACAAAAGATACTGTCTATTTTTCAGCAAGATGAAAACTACTTTCGTGACCCTAGTTTGCACTAGTGGATACTCCTTGTTACCTACTAAAAAGCCGATTGACAAAAATGAAGACTTCAACTACAAATTTAGTACAAAAGCCTCTTCCTACCCTGCAAAGTTCATGGATGTGGACAGGAAGAGGGTGAATCATCATGCCTCTCTCCTAAGGGGGTTGAAGGCATAATGGCAAAAGGGAGCTCTAAAATGACTTCCAAACAATAATAGGGAGAGATATGAGCCATTTAGATGAAGTCCCTCCCAAATACAGATGCAGCCTGGGAGACAAGAATTGTTGGGGATTATAACTGTTGAGGGTGAAACAACGTGCTACAGTGGACAGACGTAGGACACATGAAGAAAACGGATAGGTAGTATGGAAATAGCTTTCAGAAGTCTTCATACCCTGTTTGTATGTGACAGAAGGCAAGGATCCCTTATAATTTCCACTACACCAATGAAGAAACCTGAAAAAAACAGGGCTTACATGTCACAGTGCAGCACAAGATTAGAGCCACCGGCTCATTAAACTTTATCTGTGTTTCTAGCCATGGTTCACATCACAAATTTAAGAGGCAAGGGCTACCTGCCCTTAGGCTTCTTAAACCTCGTGCTTTGGCCATGGCCTCTACTCAAATTCAGGCAATTTTACTGCATCACTTTCATTGTGTTTGCATCAGATGAAGACTTGAGAGTGAATTTTTGGACACAGTAACCTTCAGAGGGTCCAAGTCCCTTCAGCAAGCTGATTAACAGTAGATGGTAGGTATTCTGCATGTAGGGATGCTGGGGAGGGACTCTTCATTAGGGACTGTAGTGACAGGACAAGGGGTAACGGGTTAAAACTTAAACAGGGGAAGTTTAGGTTGGATATAAGGAGGAAATTCTTTACTGTTAGGGTGGTGAGGCACTGGAATAGGTTGCCCAGGGAGGTTGTGAATGTTCCATCCGTGGCAGTGTTCAAGACCAGGTTGGACGAGGCCTTGGGTGATATGATTTAGCATGAGGTGTCCCTGCCCATGGCAGGGGGGTTGGAACTAGATGATCTTAAGGTCCTTTCCAACCCTAGCTATTCTATGATTCTATGATTCTATTTTAAATTAATTATATTGTTTACTGGTTCGTGAAAGTAAAATGCAAGACTGGGAAATTGTTAGGTTGAACTCAAACTAATAAATGGCCAAGCAAATGCATGCATTCCTGTAATATCTTATTACTTCAAAGAGACAGTAAGATCACAAAAGTGCAAGGGGATAAAATGCATACTCAGTCAGCATCTTTATTCTCTAAGGTGCAATTGCTACTAATTACTTTTGTCTCAAAACTTAAATATGGAAAATAGTAACCCTACATGTCACACAAGAAAGAATAAAACGTATTTCAATAAAAACCTTTCTTTAAAGAAAGGCAGATGCATGTTTCCTATTTTCTGCTGAAGAGCAGCTGCTGCACAGTGCCTCTTCCCATGCTGCATACACATGAAAAACCTGTCAAATGCAAATGCCCACCCTCTGTGTACTTTTAAAAGGGCACAACAGATACAATTTGTAGAGCAACAATATAATGTGCTGATAATGAAAGGTACTAGAAGATGTTGATGTCCTTTGGGACTATCCATCCTTCCTGCACATCCGTTTCACATTACACACTGCAGATAATCTTGTAAGTCCCACCACCATCCTCGGCACACCACTGGGCTAATACAAACATTTATTTTCTGACAAGACTTTTCTGGAGCCACACAGTAACAGATGATTATTACTAACCCAACTTTCATGAACAGATTTGTGCCCAAATTTAATGGCTGGCTGGCATTACATTGCTGGAATAAGGACGCTCAGGAGCATACCTGGGTGGTGGGAGTATGAGAATGAGATTAAATTGCACTGAGAACAAGATTAAACTGTTGTGGGCTACTGACTTGCCCCCGGGCTATAGCTGGCCTGCTCAGTGGCAGGATTTAAAGCTGTGCAAGTGAAAAGTTTTAATTTTCACTCCAAAATGAGAATTTTGTACTTCTGTACTTACTGGTTTAAGATTCTTTTTTCCTGGAACAGGATCATACTCAGAGAAGAACAACAAACTGATCCTCTGTGTGCAGCATTAGGCATAGGAGTACTTTGACCTTTCATACTCCTAAAAATCAGGATCTGGCATCAGTATGTCAGCTTCAAGCCCTTGAGAAGTAGAATTTTCAGCATAGGCTAATTTTCCATGAGCACACAGGGTCTTGCATGATTTGAGTATTTTAATTAAGTTGGAAGCTTGGCACCAGTCAAACTGAAACATTAAAATTGAACCAAACATTTAATGCTCAAACCTACAGGCTGGTGTGCACCACCCTTAGCCCAACAGAAGCTGGGGATCTCCAATCAAGATCTTGCAGAATCCAGCTGGAGCCAGAGCTCTGAGAAGGTGCTGAAAGCCTTGGAGGTCTATCGAGTGGCACGTAGTTTGTGAGCAAGCTGGCAAAATTTCTATTGCAAAGGCAGAAAATACCAGTCAGAAGGAGCAGAAGTCAAATGCTTTCCTTGCTTAAATAGAAGCAATGCAAGGCTGACATCATAAATAAAAAGGGGGTTACTCTTGAAGTTCTCTTCCTAGAAATTTCACTTCCTTAGGGTATGTGGCTATTTCGAGTTACCACAGCAACTGTCAGAAGAGAAGGCATTTTATTTTCTTGTTTTGTTTTTACATGGAAGAGCTGGGAAGACCTACTGTCCTGGTTTCAGCTGTAATGGATATTTTTCTTCCTAGTAGCTGGTGCAGTGCTGTGTACTGGAACAAGAGGAGGGATTACAAAAGCCCGCCCTGAACAAAAGGAGATCTTCCTACAGTACAAAGGTTCATAACAATTCCTTTCCTGTGTAACCACACTGACCAGCTAACATGGGGTACTCAGGAGATGCCTGGCCCAACAGTGGTGTGAAAACCCTTTGTGTGGCAATCCAAGGTGAAGTGGATGGGCCTCTCTTTGCCCAGGGCAGGGGTACACAGCTGTCCTTGGAAAGCACGTGCCTTCATGTTGTTCACTTTATTTGGTTGTGTATAGCAGCTCTGAGCCCAGTGCTGTTCTCAGTGAAGTTGGTTTGGTAGGATTTGGTGCTGAGTGCCCCAGGATCCACTCCAACATCCTGACTGTCACCTGTCCTGTTTTGAAAAATGCAGATTTCTCTAAAGAAATGTCTGCAGGTGCTGCAGAGTGAAGCTGCGGTAAACAGGCGTGTGTCTTTTTGTTTGGAGAGATGAGGCTCAGATCACTCTGAAACAGTCATATGTAAAGAATATGATGTCCTTCAGAGTGAACTAAAACCAGTTTTGTTACGTAGAAGTTAAATCAAGAAAATATACAATTATGTATTTGAATAGGGAGATGGGACATCACTGCAGTTGTTGGTTTGGAGTTGGTTTACCATGGAGGCATGTATCATCTGGGTGATGTAGGCAGCTGCTAGCAGCATGCTATCTACTGAAGAGTATGATTTAGTTATTTAATTATGCACTTTACAGAAAACTGTTGAGTATCTTTCACCTCTCTGCCTCTCCTCGCCATGCTTATTTGTACTGTCCCAAGCCAATCCAGCTGCAGTGTTCTCTAAGCCCCGTGTTTTGGCTCATACCCACGTGGTTTTGTCTCGGCTCTGCTGATTTTTCTGAGCAGTTAAACAGCACCTGGGTTGTTACCATGCGAATTCCCAGCCTCCTGAGCCCCAGATGTCACACTGGCGAAAACTGGCTTAAATTTGATAATATGTAATGTGAGTGTGATGACCTCTGACCTTCCCAAATTATACAAACAGGAGGGGTCTCTCCTGCCCCGGGACATGGCATGACCCTGGGAAGTGGCCTCCCTCTGCCATGCCAAGCCCCCCCTGCAGCAGAAAGCCCACTGCGAGAGGCCACAGCCTTCAAGAAAAGGCCAGTCCGAGATGATGCATCCCACATCACCGCACTGTCATTCAGTTCACCTTCAGTATGTATATTTTAACCCTGCAGCTCCTAGGCATTTTCAGGTATCCAGGTACCTCCCACAGGCTTCCTTGCTTTACAATGCATTTTTGATTTTGCCAAATAACCAGTGCAGCCCCCGCCGGCTCTCCCAGTGCCCTACTCTCTGTGCATTAGGACAGTTTGGGATCCCATTGGAAGAGGAGGCTGCATTCCCAAGTGCAGACCTCCCCATCACCCTCTGTATGCGATGCTGCTGGAGGTTCCCTCAGGGATGGCGTCCCACCAGACTATTAAGAAAAGGCCGAAGAAGTCCCAGGCACCAGCGGTGTACTCCCTTCCTCCTGCTTTTCCTCTCCTCAGTGCACCTCCCTCTCCCCAGAGATGCCGAGGTCTTGGCTGCTGGGGTCTCGGTTTAGGCTTCCCGGGACACAGAGGGACGCTCTTCAACCGTGGGGCGCTGCTGGGGGCTGACAACCTCGCAGACGTTGTAAGCAAATTCCCCCTTTTCCTCCCTCGGCGGGCCCGGATGGAAGTTTTTAAATTTATTAAAAAAAAAAAAATTAAAAAAAAACACTTGAGGGGCCACTGGGAGGAGAAAAAATGTCCTCGTGATGTCTGCGGCGTCTGCGAAATCGTCCCGAGAAGGAAGAGGAGGATCCCGCAACGGGGACAACGTGTGTTTGTCGCAAGGGGTGGGCGGTGGCGCCTGGGCCGCGACCGGGACCGGGGAGGGGTAGTTAAGTGGCCGCGGGCAGCCGCGCTCCCCCCGATTTGAAGGGGAAGAAGGGGCCGGGCCACCCCGCTCTCCGCCCCGGGAGGGGTGAGAGCCGCTCCGCTCCGTGCCTGGGGCTAGGCGGAGCAGGGGCCGGGGTGCCCGGGCCGGCCCTTCTCCGAGAGCTGTCGTCTGTGAGGCGCCGGCGGGACATCTCCCTCCAGCGCCGGGTGGTGGCACAGCCCCGCCGGGCAGGGCAGAGCAGGGCCGGGCGGCGGGTGGACCCCCCCTTCTCCCTTCCTCCTCCTCCTTCTCCTCCTCTTCCTCCTCCTCCTGTTAACTTGGCCGCGGCGGCGCGGGGCGGTGCGCTTCGCCCTCCGCCGGCTGCGGGGGATGCGCGGGAGGCGGCGGGATGGCCTCGGCCGTGTTTGAAGGCACCTCGCTGGTGAACATGTACGTGCGGGGCTGCTGGGTGAACGGCATCAGGCGGCTCATCATCAGCCGGCGGGGCGACGAGGAGGAGTTTTACGAGATCCGCACCGAGTGGTCGGACCGCAACATCCTCTACCTGCACCGCAGCTACTCCGACCTCGGCCGCCTCTTCAAGCGGCTCCTTGACTCCTTCCCCGAGGACCGGCCCGAGCTGTCCCGATCCCCCTTGCTCCAAGGTTTGAGCATCCTCCGCTGGTCGAACTCTCGCTGCTGGGCGGTCGGACTCTTCCCCGGGGGTGCCGGTGGCAGGGCGGGCGGGAGGACGGTCCCCACTGGCGGAGGGGAAGGGGGTGAGGAGCCGGATCCGCGGCGGGACCAGACCGGACGGGGCGGGAAGGGGAGACAGAGAAGCTGCGTTTTGCGGTCGGAAACTCCTCCCGAGTTGTTGATTTCTGTTGTAATGTTTTTGGTGAATATGGGGGGGGGGGGGGGGAAGGAAGGGGACCCCCCCAACCGGGGGGGCGAGCCGGGGGGGAAGCAGTCCCCAGCCCCGCCGCTATCCCCAGCTGCGCGGCGACTTGTGGCCCCGAGCTGGGCTGAGGGAGCAGAGGGGTCCCCGACCGCGCTGCCCCTCCCCGATGCCTCCGGCCTCCCCGAAGCTTCCCGAGGCAGGGCTGGGGGGGTTGTTGGCAGGAGGACTGTAGCTGAAAAATCTCTGCATGTTGGTATGTTGTTTGCCACAAGGAGAGGAAAATAGACCCAAGGCTGCGGCGCTTGGCAGCGGACGGAGCAGCTCTGGGAGCTGGCATAATTCCTCGCATAACTTCTGCGAAACAGGGAATTGCACCAGCGTTTAGAACCGTGTTTTCCGTTTTCGTTTCTGAAGTGGATTAACCCAACTCGGGGGATGTTGCCTCTTCTCACGTCTCTTTGAGCAGAAGCAGAATGTACCTGTTAAGCTGTCTTGGGGGTTGGCTTTAATTTGTGTGGGGTGTTTTTTAGGTACAGTTACGTGTTTTGCTCGAAAATATTTCAAGTGTGTAGAATGGTGCGGAGCATCCGCTCATCTGAAAATGGATGTGTGTGCAGCACTTCCCTCCCCCCCCACCCCCAGCCCCCTGGTTTCAGTAACCACATTAATGATTGAATAGGAAAGGGGAGAGGCCGGCATTTCATGTGTTTTCCTCTATGAGAGGTTGGAGAAGTTCAACCCTGCGCTCGTTTCGCGTCTCACCTTGCTAGCGGGAACCCTTTTGCAGAGGGTCTGCCTTTGATATTATCGGGTGCTTATTTCGGGGCCCTACCTGTGTGGCAGCTGGCTCTGTGCCCTGCGGAGGGGGGGAATCCATCGACCTCCCCCTAGGCTGACCCTCCAAGGATATTTTCTGACGTGGGTTCCCAGTGAGAAAAGTCATTTTCTTGCAGTGCTGCCAGATCCCTGGTGGTGGGGTGGCGGGAAGATTATTTCTGGTGCTTCGTCTAAACTGCCCATACCTTTCCCGCTCTTTGCCTTCTTCGGATGTCTCTCGGCGCTGGGCTTTTACCTTCTCGCAGCCGGGAGTGGCCACCCGGCCCCGCCGGCTCCGGGGGATCCGCCACCGCTGCCGCTGCTCGCAGGTCCCGAGTGCCCTCTGCAGACGGCTGGGAAGGGCGCAGGGCTGCCGGCGTGGCGGCGGCCCCGCCAGCCGCTGGCTGCCCGCTCCGGTAGGGTATGCTTGCGGGGCTGGGTGATGGAGGGGGGGCTGTCTTCCCCCAGCTTGGGTACAGTCTGGGAATGGGGGAGTCCGTTGGCTATTCCTGCAGACCCCTGTCCCATACCCCCAGCACTGCTGTGTGCGGGCCACACTGTTCTTACGCAGTGTCTCACCCAACTAGGTTGCTGACCGGGGATCTCAAGTATTGTGAAAAATTATTATCCTTTGCAGGTGCCCTACCTACAGTACTCCAAGCTTGAGTTTTAACAGTGCTGAGTGGCAGTAAATTCTAAATAAAATGGCCTTTATGTGCGCTTGGCAGCTGGGCCCTGGATTTTGAGGATTCTGGGTAGGTCCGAGGTAAGCCTGCCTGTGGCCTGCAGGTCACAGCACCTGCCAGGGTCACTGTGACTAAAATTTGACTTCCCAGGGTGCCAGTAGTCCTTTTACTTGTTGGCTTTATTGGGCTCTGAGAAGTAGCTTGGCAGCTGTGCCAGGGTGTGTTATGAGTCTGGCCGCAGATGGACTCAGTCCTTGCTGGTGCTGGCCTCTAGCCCCTCCCAGCATGCTCCCTCCCCATCACTTAGGCACAGGAGCCCCTGTGCATCCTAAAGCCATTCTCATTCCTCAGTGCCCTTTCAAGTGAGCGTGGTTTCTCTCCTGTTTCAAGACCTGCCACAGCTTTTGAAAAATATTAAACTGTTTTCACATCTCTCTAAGGCATCATTTATGCAGTTGGAGCTAGATGGGATTATAGTCCCTTTCACTGGCTTTACTTTACAGTCCCATACACCCTTAGTGCATGAAGAGCTGGGAAAGCATAAGCATCCTCAGCATGCAACACTCAATTCCTGCCTACAACCTGGAGCCAGCAACCTTCACTTACCCTTATCTCAGGAGCAGGCGTACCGACCTCAGTAGAATTGGGAATGAGCAAAGCGTCAGTCCAGGATTTAAAAAATCGAAACCCAATATAAGCAGACCATGATTGTTCAGCTTGATGAGGGGGTTGGGTTAACTGTGCAACAGAGACAGAATAAGAATCGGGAGCAGTGTCAAAGCAATCACAGTTTGCTTCACAATGTCAGTAATACTCTGTTTAAAATTACGCTGCTCCTGCTCTAAAGAAGATGACTTTGCAGAGTGTGTTTCTCTGCGTAGAGGACACTTCATCACACCAGCATGTTAAAGCGACCGGCCACAGCCATGTATAACTTCACAAAATTGAAACGTAAAAATCTCATTTAACTAGGTGACATTGATGCAAAGTTTGGATGTAAGAAGAGATTGCATGAGCCGTATCCGGCCTTTACAAGACTCGTGGTAAGCATGGTTTCTTAATGTCCTGTTTAAAAACAGACATCCTAGAGCCTACAGTGAAACTCAATGTACTTAGTCCAGCAAAAACACCTGACAAAAGCACACCCTTGTATGTTCAGTCTTACATGTTTGTATTTTTATATACGTACAAATGTATATGCATATGTATGTGAGTTTGTATATGTGTGTGTGTTTATCTTGGTCTTTCTGAAAGAAGGTAATTATTAGCTGTGCCTTTTATCTGGAGGAAGTGGTAAAATGTTGCAAATGAAATTTGCATTGCATTGAAGGACTCCAGAGTCCCTACAGATTTGCCTAAGGAGCATTAAAAGCACAAGCATTATCCTACAGCTCAGTCAAGCTGCAGTACGTTACGTTTAAGGGATATGGTTGAGGAGTGAAAGCTTGAGCTATTTGATGTTATTAACTTCTTAAAAGAAGATTTATTTTTTTTTTAACATCAGCAATATTAGAAAGCGTTGGTTGTTACCATTATTGCTGGCTTCAGCAAACAGCTCATACTGAGCAGGAGTGTGCTGCTTTCCTTGCTCAGCAACAGCAAACCATCCTCTCCATTCCTTTCTTCACCTTTGTTCCCTTGGACTGACTTCCACAATGCTTTCCCTCTCTATTTCTTGGAGCTGCTGAGTGCTTTGAGATTACAGAGGAGAGAATGGGAAGTATAGTTTTCTGCAGTGGCTGTTCATCTTACCCTTTCTTGATACTAAAAGAGGGGAGGTCCCCAGGGGGAATATGGCATTCACACAATCTGGTCTTGTCTTTGATAACTAATAAGAACACGTGGCAAAGTACACGCTTGGCATCTGGAGCTTGCTGTGATGCTAAGGGCCAAGGACATTCAACAACACAGGACATCCTTCTAGTAAGCTGGTAAACAAGGTTAAATATGTGCATACCTGCAGGGTGACTAAATATGATTCACTGTGATGTTACTAGTAACTTGCTAGTATTTTGTGTCTGAAACATGCCCATCCCTTGCTCTAGGCAAATGCACAGAAGAGAATCACAATAAAACACAGGCTAGTTCACTTTTAGCAGAGCTATAACACAGCCTCATGTTGCTAAACTGTCTTTCTATGTGAAAAATAAACAAGCTTTGTATGTAAATCAGTCTTCATGAGAAAGGCAGCACTATGGACTTTGAAGCCAACTTAGAATCAAAGATTTAAAAATAATGCAACAGGCCAATAGACACTGGAAGTAAAGTATAAACCTGGAAAAGTACTCTTTTGTTCCCCTTCTGTTTTCTCTAAATATTACTTCTGGTGGGTTCTTATCTAAGATTTATCCCGGAACTTGATCCAGCTTCAGCGCAGTCAACAGTCAAGACACTTGCTTCTGACTTCAGTGTGGGCAGGATCAGCCCCTTAAGCATTGGACCAGGAAGCCTGCAGAGCTCATTAGCAGCCTGTCAAAGCTGGGGTTTATTTTGCCCTTGGAGTGGCAGGGTGGTTTCTGGCAATCCTCCTCTGCCACTGTTTTGTTGCCTTTGTCATCAGAACAGATGCTCGGTTACTCTTGCAGTGTCACTGTGCATATTGTGCCTACATGTAGCGCCTGGTCCTGCTCTGATACTCAGTCATCAGAAACTTTCTTCAGCCTTACAGATTTATTTATTTTTCTTACTTTCCAAAGTGCTCATTTTTCTCCATGTCCTTTTTTCCATGCCTCCTCTGACTCATTCTGATCTGTCATGGCCTTTTTTCCCCTTGCTCTCCTTTCTGTTATTTTCTCTCTGCTTCTCCAAGTTGCTTTCCCTGAGCCACTTTCTGTTCCCTCTGACTGCCTCCAGGTTTCCATCACCATCTTGGTGCCATCTGTGACTATCTGTGACTCTCTGGAACTTTTCTGTTTCATTCTGCTTTGCTGGGGCTCAACCACCGTCCATCCATAGAAGCTCTCCAGTAGTGGTGGAGATTTCCTATAGAAACTTTGTGTCTGGAGCTTGACTCATAGCATAGAGGCGGTCACTTCACCTGCGGCGGACCCTGAGCAATCCCTCCCAGATGACTAGCACTGGGCTCTAGGTCTGAGGCTCTGCCCCCCAGCCTGGTTGCCTCATACAGGAAGCAGTCAATCAGCTGTTTTCAGTGTCCGAGTGGCTGTGCTCCAGGAAGCACACATGGGAAGCTCCTCCAGGGCTGCCGTTGGAAGGACTTGCACAATGCAGAAGGCAGTTCCTAAAGAGCCAGCCCAGGAAC